ACTGCAAGTTTAGTTTCAATTCCATATATTTGTCTAAAACAATGTAAATAGTTCACTAAAACAGTTGTTTTAATTACTGCAACTGAATTTAGGCATCACAACATTGTAATAGACTATGTAAAATAGATTTCATTTTGAGATTTGCTGTTTGTTATTCATTAACGGCACATATAATCTAAATATAACAATAAGGGAAATGAGCGCAGGTACCTATCCAATGTGATGATTTTGTTTTTGCTGGGTCACATTGTTCTCATTACATGCAGCATCTAGCAAATCCAAAATAATTGAAAATTGTTGGCAGTGCTCTTTGGTTTGTTACTTAAGCTTCTTTTTGAAGCTCACGCGGTGTTTCTTCAGCACTTGTTATTTTTGGCCACTAAAAAGAGAAGTGAAACTGTTCCTGTGGATCAGCCCAATGAAAACTTGCCTAAGTTACAGAAACGTGCATCCAGTGTTGATGTAAATGGAGAAAATGTGTGTAGAGGCTTCCTGAAATGAGGACTTTACTCTGAGAATGTCCTCGTGTTTCTCAGAAACCCTCTGCTCTGTAGGAGGTAAAGATTGAAAACAATATCTTATTTCAGGAAGGGAAGTTTAAGGTCGACATACCAAAACTTAGAATTTTCATTGTTTTAGAAGACACATTTTATTATGACCCTCTGGAAATGCAGACAGATATGTTTTGGTAAACATTTGAGCAGAAATAAAGAGCAGGACATGATAATGACACAAACACGTGCAGTTTTTTCATGGAAGGCCTCCATTGCTCCTTCTCTACGGTCTTCTTTTAAATAAGCTGTAAATAGATTCTTTTCGACTTCCTGACTGAGAATAAAAATGAATTGCAGTGAAAATATTATGAATAAAATTCCAGATTTGTTTCAGCACCTCGCCCTCCCCTGAACAAAGCTTTCTTTCTTTCTCTCTTTATTCTTTTATCCTCAGACCGCAGGAATGTTTCTTTCTCTCAGAAAGTTGTAAAGTGCTGATTCTGGGCTCAGGGTGCGTTTATACATGTGGCTTCTGTCGTTCACTCGTTTCCTCGGTCTCACTCGCTCAGTTCGCCTCTTTTCCATATTTCTTCACTTTCTTCTCTCCCTTCAAAGTCGTCTATCATCTTTGGAGCTGAATCTGATGAATCTGAATGGCCAGGATTTAACAAAAAGTGCACTCTGCCCCATAAATGTTTGTTTAGTTTATACTTTGGCTAATTTTGTCATGCTGTCACAGTAAAAGTGTAATACACTCGATTTAACACATTTTACAAAGTTTAAATGAAGCAACAAATGATTATTTTAAACTGGATTGTTTTTGTGAATCAGTAATAGACAAATGTATGGAAGCCCATTTCCGCCACTGAATAAAAAATGTTAAAAAAGGTAATTGCGACTTTTTATCTCACAATTCGGACTTTTTTTCTCAGAATTGCGTGATATAAACTAGCAATTGCGAGTTAAAATCCAATTTTGAGGGGGGGGACTGATATTTTCTCCGAATTGCGACTTTCTCACAATTTGCGAGTTTATGTGACAGAATTCTGACTTTATTTCTCAGAATTTCGAGTTTATATCTCACAATTACGACTTTTTAACTCGCAATTGCGAGTTTATATCACGCAATTCTGAGAAAAAAAGTCCGAATTGTGAGATAAAAAGTCACAATTACCTTTTAAATTTTTTATTCAATGGCGGAAACGGGCTTCCATAGAAACAACTCTTAAAGGGATAGTTCACCCAAAAATGAAAATGTGATGTTTATCTGCTTAACCCCAGGGCATCCAAGATGTAGGTGACTTTGTTTCTTCAGTAGAACACAAACGGAGATTTTTAACTCAAACCGTGGCAGTCTGTCAATCTTATAATGGAAGTGAATGGGAATCACGGCTAAAACAAACAATAAAAAAAAAAAAAAAACATACATGAACGAAACCAAATTAAACCCTGCGGCTCGTGACGATACATTGATGTGTAAAGACACAAAACGATCGGTCTGTGCAAGAAACTGAACAGTATTTATATTGTTTTTTACCTCTGATTCACGCAATGTCTGAACTGTATGGACCATTGACACTCCTAATTGAGATTGTAGATAGAGTGTCAATGGTCCATTTGAGAGATAGGTGGCGGTAATGCACTTATAAGTCTGCGATCCGCCGTA